AGGGGGAAGGCTGCACTGCAATCTTTTCTCCTCCATTCTCCTCTTGGGACTTTGGGCATGCACATACATGTGCCCGACATGGTTTTCAAGCTGCCAGGTCCGGCTCAAACTGTGGTCGGCCATATGGGAGTCCAGCACCTTAACCACCATGCCACTTGTTGGCCCCAGAGCATTCATATTTTGTAAAAGCTCCCCAGGCAGTTCTGAGACACAGGGGGATCTGAAACTGCTGAGTTAAGACCCCTGAGTCTTTCCTGGGATTGGAGAGCAGAGTATGAGTCCTTGTGTACCTTCCTTTATGTCCTCCGAGTGCCACCACCACACGTGCCCCCATGTGGAATCACAGGGCCCCCTTGGGAGGAGAGTACTTCAGGAGTATAGTGCCTGGGGCGGGCTCTCCCCAGTCTTGGGGGAGGGCTTTGCAGAAGAAGGCGGAGTCTGACCAGTCGCAGTAGCTGGGCCTCATTCTGTCTTTCTGGGCATCAAATCACCTGCTCCATCTCCTCCAGCCCCAGCCAACACCAATCGGAGCTCCTAGGAACATGCTCCCTGGAACGGCCTTACCCTACCAGGTCCTCTGGACCACACGCACCTCCTGTTAACTTCCCTGTAGCTTCAGAACTGGAAGAGAGTAGTGCCTCACATTTCTACAGCTGGAGAAGCTGAGGCACCACATACCAAATCAGGAGAAAACTCAGGCCTCCCAGCACCAGCCCAGGGATCTGCCCCATGACGAATGGCTACCACTAAGAACAGAAACAACCAAAGCTTTGTCAGAAGGGCTCCCACTTTTCCAGGCCTCCCAGGACTGAGTTATTTCCAGACACCAAGCCCAATGCAACATGGGTGTTCCAACCCCCTCATCACCTGAGTTTTCCCCAGCTCGCTCTCTGCAGTCCAGAGCCAATTCCACAGTCAGACTCCCTGCCTGCTCCCCAGAGCCACCCCTGTATACCCAGTTCCTGAGCCCGACCTGGGTCCGTAGAAGTAGCTTCAAATAACCCCGCGGAGCCTTTTCCTCCGCACCTCCTCTCCCGGTGGCCCAGAAACCTCTGCCCATCCTTGTGTGGTGTAGGCTCAGCAGGCCAAGATGACCACCAGCCCCGGGCAGGCCTGGGCGTCAGGGAGGGTGGGGCGAGGCTACCTGACCATCACCACTTCCCACGGCCCCAGGAGAATGACCAGAAGCGGATCCGCGCCTTGAAGAAAGCCAACAAGGAGCGAGAGCTCAAGAGGAATCGCATGCGGGACCTGGCCAAGGCCAAGCAGGAGATGGCGGCCCTGCGGCTGGAGCAGCAGAGGCTGAGCAACAAGCTGCAGGAGTACTCCATCTTCAACAAGTACCTGGAGAAGGTGGTGGAGAACTCTGAGGTGAGCACCAGGGAGAAGGCAGGCCAGCCTTCCTCAGCCCCGCCCCCTCCGCCCCAGAGCCCAGGGGTGGGGACCTGGACCCCCTGGATGCCTGGGGGTGCTGCAAGGCTGATCTCCCTGTGGGTGGCGATGGGGCAGGCCCTGGAGGACAGCGAGAAGGAGGACAGCCTCCCTCGTGAGACTTGATGCGCTCCTGGGACGGGCCTGATGGTGTGTCTTTGTGTGTCTGTGTGAGTGTGTGTGTGATTTGCATGTTTATGTGTATGCATGTGTGTTGAAGGAGGTTTTGCAACACAACAAGCTTTGCCTGCATCAGTCTGCGGCAACACCCACCCCTGCTTCCCTCTTCCCTGGTGTCTTCCGTTCACCTGGGCGTAAGCTGGGAAGAGGAAGGGAGAGAAACGGGGCAGAAACACCCGACCTACTGCAGGGCTGGCGGGCTTTGGATGTGCTGGGCGCTGGGCTTAGTGCTTTACACGCTGATGTCATTCGGACCTCTCCTGATGTGATTCGGACCTCTCCTGTGTCTCAAGAGGAAGGCAGCCTTGTTCCCCCTTCACAGAGGAGGAAATGGAGGCTCAGAGAGGTTAGGTAATCTACTCGAGGTCTCCAAGCTGGTAAATGACACTTTTTTTTTAGAGGTTTTTCACTATAGGGAGCGTGCGCTCGCCAGACAGACAGAGAGAGACAGAGAGACAGAAAATGAGAAATCACCCCCCAGGGGGGATGGTCATGCCACAATCCCTTCTCCTCCATTCTCCTCTCGGGATCTTGGGCACGCACACACATGCACCCAGCGTGAGTTTTAATCCACCGAGTCCGGGACGCAAACCGCAGTCAACTACGTGGGAGTCCAGTGACATAGCCATTACGCTAACTGCTGGTTCCCAGTCAATGACAGACTTTTAACCACTCCTCTGTGGGTCCCGCAAGCCTTTGACAGCTGCCCTTCCCGGCCTCCCTGTGGCCATGGACGGAGCTCAGGGATCCTCAGCCCTTAGCCCTCCTGCAGCTCTCGCAGCATTTGGGAAACATACTTTTGCTCTTGCTTCTGTGACACCTTCCTGCTCCTGCCTCTGACTCCCCTGGGGTTCTTCTTCCCAGGCCCTTCCTGGGTCTTTGTCTCAGACCCTCTGGTTTTCTCCCTGAGTAATTTTCAGGGCTTCCAAGGATGCCACCCACGTCAGTGAGCGTCCACCCCGTCCCCCACCCCGTGTGATCAGCAGCATGGTGGAGGGCCCGCACCATGGTGGGGTGACATACCTCCTCAAGGGATGCGGATCCAGGTCTTCTGAGAGAATCAGGGAGCCAAAAGACTGCTCTTGAAAGTGCGCCCGATTTCCATGTAGAAACACTAACCTTATTTATTTATTTATGCGTGAGCCCCAAATCTGTGTGACTGCCTCCATTCTGAGGTACTACCAACTGTATGAAGAATTGTTCATTTATTAGAGATTTTCAGTGGGAGGGAGAGAAGGACAGATTGTAAGCTTTGTCTCAGATTGGGAGTTGGTAAAATACTTCAAAAACTTCATGGAAACTGGAATTAAAAGTTCAAGTTTAGAGGCTAGCAGGTGGTCTAATGGTTAAGGTACTGGGCTCCCACAGGGTCGACTGGATAAGCCTAGGACCTGGTGGCTTTAAACTCATGCTGGGCCTATATGCACACATGTCCAAGATCCCGAGAGGAGAATGGAGGAGAAGGAATTGCAGTGTGGCCGTCCTCCCTGGGGGTGATTTCTCACTTTCTGTCTCTTTGGAGAGCACACATGCCCTATAGCACAAATCTCTAAAATAAGGAAATTAAATAAAAGTGTACGAGTTTATTGGGTGCAAAAAATCTTTCAAAATCTACCCGTAGTTTTTCTATAATGCACATTTTCCATGAACTTTTTGGAGAACTCCTTCCTCTCCCCCTCATCCCATTGTGTATCTTAGAACTGAGGAACCTGGCCAGTGTCTTCCCTCTACGCTTCAAACTCTATCTAATTCCTCTGGTCTACACTGGTCTCTCCAGGCCAGCCCTGCCGCTGGCTTGTACCGTGCTGCTGAATGGCAAGGCCACCCACCCGCTGTTCTGCCAGAACTCAGTCCTCAGGCTTGACTCGCCCCTGACTCAATCCCGCAGCCATCAATCAGCAGATCCGGTTAAATCTGCCTCTGAAGTATTCCTGGAATCCAGCCCCTGCCGGTCCTCACCCAGACCACCAGCGTCTCAGAGGGCGCAGCTCCGCAGGGCCTACTTGACATTCTGCAGCCAGCTTGGTCTCCCTTCTCTCTCCGCCTTTATTATGCTCAAAATATTGTCAGCACACGAGAAATGCAGAGAAGCGTGGAACAGCACCCAAGCACTGGCTCACAGCTCTGTCAAATCTGTGTTGCTCCTGTTTGCCCACGATTATATTTTCTTCCATAAAACACTACCAATAATTGAAGCCCCTCATGTGCCCTTCCAAATCTTCTTCTTTTTCTCCTCAGACGTCACCAGTATCCTGATTTTTAAATTTCTCATTTCATGTTTTTCTTCTGTCACATATTACAAATGCATATGTAATGTCATTGGGTCATAGGAAAAGTCATGACATATTTTTCTGCTTTTCTAGGCAAAAGTGCATCATGACTTTTCCGACGACCCAATGTATATTCTTCTGTTACTTGCTTTTTCCAATCAATAATTTTGTTCCCCTCTTATTGCCAGCCAGTGCCTATGCTCACCAGAGAGAAATGAAAGGACAGAGAAAGAGGGAGAGGGAGAAATTACTCTTCGATGGGGTGTGGTCATGTTGCAATTCATTTTTCTTCATTTCTCCATCTTGTTTGTGATTTGGGACACGTGCCTGATGTGTTTTTCAAGTTGCCAGCACTGGGATTCAAACCTCAGTTGGTCATGTGAGATCCCACTCCCTTAACCACCAGACTACAGGGCCAGCCTGAATCGATAATATTTTATTACTATGGTTATATATCACAGGATCTCGCTATGATGTGATCCTTCCTTAGCTTCCCAAGTAGCTAAGACTATGTGCCCACCACGCCATCAGACTTTTTAGGGTGGACTGAGAGTGGACTCCAGGCCTGCCAGGTGGCCTCAGCCTGCCAAGTAGCAGTGTCTACCAGCAGACACTACAAGGCAGGCCCTCAGTGATTTTTTTAAGCTTTTTATAATGAAAACCTTCAAGCGTATGCAAAAGTAGAAAGACTAGTCTATTGAAAGCCCATTACTCATCATCCTGTTCCAACCATTATCAACTCACTGTCATGTCCCCCACACCCTCCCACCTCTGCTGTTTTAAAGCAAATAATATTTCTTCCATCCATAAGTATTTCCATATGTATGGCCGAAAGATGAGAGCTTCTTTATTTAAAAGAGCTTTTTTACTTATTTACTCTCTCCTGATGAGAGAGGTAAAGACAGAGCTACAGGTGCCCTCCACAAGGTCGCCATGCCGCAGTCCGCCCCAGTCTCAGCCAGCCCGGAGCACGGACACACCTGCATGTGCCCCGCACACCCAGGAAGGCCCACCCCGTCAATGTCTAAATTTCCCCAGTGATTGCCAAGATGCTTTCTGTGTCGTTGGCTTGTTCCACTCAGGGCCCAAACAAATCGCCCCACGCAATATTTGATTGACATATTTCTTAAGTGTCATAGACATTATCCTGAGGGGAAAAAAACAGCCAGACAAAAAAGATTATACTGTATGAGGATGGTCTGCAAGTGCAGAGGTTAAACACAGTGAATTGGGAGCCCGATTCTACATGGCAGACCATGGTTCAAATCTTGGTCCCAGCAGCTTGAAAAACATGCCAAGCGTGTGTGCCTGTATGCCCAGAATCCTGAAAAGGTGGAGAAATGGAAGGAAAAGAATTGCAGTGTGACCACACCCTACTTTATAGTGCTTTCTCTCTCTCATGAAAGCACATACTCTTTAGTGATTTAAAACTCTCTCTCTCTCTCTCTATCTATCTATCTATCTATCTATCTATCTATCTATCTATATACCAGCCCATAGTCTGGCGGTTAAAGCAGCCGGATCCCACAGAGACAACCAAGTGGCTTGAGTCCCAGACCTGGCAGGCTGAGAAACAGAAGTCTCTCTCTGGCAAATGCCAACACCCTATATCAAAACTCAAAAAAAAAAAAAAAAAAAAAAGAAAGAAAGAAAAAAAAAGCTTGTTTAACGCTTGATCCTTTATTTGCAGTTTTCAGAATAATGAATTTGTTCTCCAGGCTCCTCCCTAATTGTCTCTAATGCTTTTAGTACCGTTATGAACCTGTGGAATTTAACTTATTTGATACATTTCAATTACTTGCGCTTACTCTTACTGATGGGTTAATTGCCCCATCTTTGGGCAGCGGGCGCTTCAAGATGGCCCCTGAGTCCTTTTGACATCTGCGTGAAGTCTGAGAGATTCGCTCCCGTTGTGCAGATGCGGTTGGTCCCGTGAACTGCCGTGCACCGCTGCGTTGTGGATGGCCTCTCGGAAATGCGGACATGAAGACGTCTCTCCACTTCTTCAAGTCATTTAATGAATAGGGCCCACCTCTTTTCCAGGATTTCCTGGGTACTGTTTTCTTCTTCAGGGCAATCTCTCTCCTGCCCTCCCCCCATCTTTTTTTCTTTTTTAAGTTTATTTATTTATTTATTGAGAGAGAGGCAGAGACAGAGGGAAACACTCCCAACAGAATTCTTCATGCTGTCATCCACTCCCGGCCTCAGCTAGCCCATGTGAGCACAGCCCTCCACCCCTACCCTGGCATGTGCAAGGAGGTCCTCAGCCACGAACCTGGGACCTTCCCATGTGGCTTCAGCATCACGGAGCATTACCACTATGCCATCGTCCTACCGAACGACTGTACCTTGAGCATCCTGAAGAAGCCACACACACCCCATTCGTCTTTACCCAGGCTGTTCCCTCCACTGCAATCTGCCTCAGCTGCCCCCGCCTGCTTCTGGCTGGCTATCTTCTATTCAACGTCCAGTTTTGTTCTGATCACCCCAGGAAGTCTCTTTGGACTGCTCCTACCCGCTCCCACACTGGGTCAAGTGGCCCTTCCCCACAGAGGCATATCTGGGGAAAAGCCAGAAGGGCAGTTCCTGGGACACCAATCTATCTCTGGAAATGTCACGAGGTGGAGAAAGCACTCAGGGAGTGTCCCCTGGGTGGCTGGAAGGCACAGTTTGATAAGCCCCTGGGGAGGTGAGTTGGCATCAGGGAACCTTCTAAAGAGGATAGGTTGTAGGTCTTCTGTTCCGCTACGTGGGGCCTGCAGGTTAGGGCCAGAGTGGCAGGTTCTGGACCATGCTGGAGGATGAGAGCTGCTGGCAGGCCACCTGCCCCACTCTACCTCTCCAGCCCCACTTCTTCCTCAGAGACGTTGGCCCGAGGC